TTAACCTTTTAGAATGAGAAATATGAAGAAGTGATAACTCCCTCAGCTGAAACCATATATCTACAAGTGTTTCATTTTAGATAGTAAAATGATATGCCATATTTCAAGCAGATCAGCAATTTTGTGGTGGAACACCTTTAAAACTCGTGGAGTTGGGAGCAAATGCCACTGAAGTGGGTGGAACAACAGAAGCAGATCTATTTTGAAATGTCAGTGGCAGTTGCTGGTTTGACTTCTTTAGCTAAATCCTAAATTGAAAACTGAAAACTCAAATTAAAAATAGTCAAATTCCAAATGAATGAATAATTCATTTATTCTTCCAGTTTTGACATCAGTATTTTTTAGATACAAAGTTGGATATTCACACTGCTAACAGGAGCGCCTGGATTGGCTGTATCAGATTAGATATAAGGAAAGATTATCCTACCATGAGCATGGTCAAACACTGGAACAAGTTACCTGCAGAAGTTTTGGAGTCTTCATTCTCAAGAGATATTCAAAACCCAGCTGGACTTGGTCCTGGTTAACATGATGTATCTGACCCTGCCTTGAGCTGGAGGCTGGATTAGAGACCTCTGAGGTCTCTTCCAGTCTCAGCAATTCCATGATTACATTTTTTTTTTCCAGATACTTGGTAAATTCATCCTTGTTTTCCACAGAAACATGCTTCTGCTTACATATGCAGAATTTTTGCAATTTGAGAATCAGGAGACAGACCTACTGTGGAATTCCAATCAGTTGTCCAAAGTCAGGCTTTCTTCTGCCCTCTTCTTCTGACAGGTCTAATACATGCGAAACCAACATCTGACAAAACACAAGTGTAGTGTCTTTTCTTCTGTTAGAGGGAAATATGAGAAATTGTAGTGTAGAATCTCACAGTTAAGAAATGAATTGAGTTTCTTCCTGAGCATGCATCGGTTCAAACCTACATATTCCCAATTCTCCAAAGAGCATTCTGAGCAGAAGATTATAAGGCAGTCTGGAGTGAGCACTTCTTTCTTTGTTAAGATTCTCCACAGTTTTTATCTAAAGACCCTTGCACATAAAATTCATGCGGGTGTTTATCCCAGGGACTATAACTAAGCTCCCTTTTACTAGGCAAGAGCCTGGATCATAAGGCTGCAGCACATCCTTTCTTGTATACAAAGTCATCTTCTAAGCAGCCCTCCCCAGGCAATCTGTGAGCATTTCATGAAAAGGGGATGGTTTACAAAGAGAGGTGAAGAGCATGCCAGTTTATCTATCAGCCCTAAGTCTTCTACTTCCTAAGCACTCCAGCAATTATTAATTAAGGAAATAGTTTGGTTTCTTTTGGATGCGATTTTGAAGGAGCTAACTCTCCTAGATACCTTTTATGGCAAGTTTAGGCTCCTAGCTAAGGTTCTGAAGTTCACTCTCAGGATCAGCTGCGTAAAACATAGTGAGGTAAGTTTTAACTACCAGGTGCTGTAATATCACTGGCCCTAGGTAACTAACCAAAAATATCACAGTGAATCAGCAGCAGAACAATTAAGAAGTCCTACATTTCCCGAACCTCCTTGTGCTCCTCACAGCAACAGTGCATAAAATTTATGAAAGAGACTCATCATTTTCCACAGTAGTTATAACCAAATCAGCAGCCGGTGACAAAATTAAATGCAAAGATCTAGACCTTGTCAGCTCGTTGTTCTTACAAAAGGAAATTCATATGGTAATATGCAGTCTAACTCCTCTGTGGATAAAAACTGCATACACAAGGATTCATGTTAACATCTAGAACAGGAGGAAGGCTTTTTAGACATTATAAATATCAGCACTCATTGCTATATGCAAGTAGATAATTAGGGTAATTATTCCCAATTAGCAGCTGCAAACCCTGCAGATGGGAATTTCAGGGACTGGTAACTATTGTAAGGAAGTATTTCTGCAAGCTGTAAAGCACTTTTCATGTTTTGAAAAATATACATGTAATGACCCTCGCAGTCGCTGTAAAACACTTTTGTTAACACTTCAATATAAAGAAAAATTTTTCCCACACTATTATAACACTTCAGCTTTTCTTTAAAGCTATGCTGGGCTCTGAAATGGCCTGGATTTTTCCAAGTATTAAATCCATCATTTAAAGTGAATGATGAACCAGTGCTGGCCAAACTAGGACTCAAATTTTGCTTGTGTTTTCAGACCATGATAAAAAACAATGTCAAGGGCCTTTTCATTGGCTTCTGAAGACAGCAGAAGGACTCCATATGTTTTCATAGGCTCTATATGAACCCTGAAAGAATGTGTTGTGAAACTTCCTTACCAGGCTCCAGGACCATTACCCTTGTGTTCACTGGGTTCTGTTCCTTTGAATGGCTCAAGGGTAAAAAGTATTAATTAATTGTAAATAATGTTTGTTTCTCAACCATAAAGTCTTCTGTGCTAGACAACCAGTGTAGACAGTCAACTCTGGTTGGAAAAGAATTCTTGGTGCATTTGTGCATACAGTGAGTACATCACAAGCACAAATGGAGCAGGGTTTTTTCAGTTCTTAGGTTTCTTCTGAATTCATTTAAGTTATGAATTCAGAAAGTTAAAGAAGTGTAATCAACAAAAACAGGCACATAATTGTAAGATTTGTTCTCATAAAGCTCTATCACAGTAAAGAAACTTATTTTTTAAATTCTTTAATGTGAAAAATCATTCATCCCTATCTTTTAAAATAAGATTTCAGTGTCAAGCAGCAAATAGTTTGTGTTTATTCATTTAAATCCAATCCTTATCTAGTTATTTGAATGTGGAATTTCAGACAAAAACATTGAGAAATTAATCACTTTTTGCATGAGTAACTAATAAGTTGCTGATCTGTCTTTTTAAACTTTATATTTAAATATCTTTAATCTAAAATGAAGGAGAAAAAATTCAAGCCAAAATAATTATTCTATTAAAAAAGAACACATATGTTTTTTAAAGAAAGTATTGAGATTAAACATAATAATTCAGCTTTAATACAGAAAATTGCATAGTATAGCTCACTCATCTAGATGTCCATGAAAACTTTTTCAGCATTGGAATCGTGGTTTTAACTTTGTTGATACTGAGATAATAAAGAAGAATTAAAAGCGGGAGCATGTTTGTATGATATCAGTTAATTTTTCTTAATATAGTACTCCAATTCAGATTTTTACAGTTACCAGTATTAGTGGTTGTGAATAACAAAGCTTAATAAAATATGTTTATTTTCTATATTTTAGGAGTCTAGCTACTACAACAATTGTTACATGTAAATATCTCTTAGGTCTCCCAGAATCCCCCAAATCCTTCCTCTGACATTAATTTCATATATATTAGGTTTTAGAATAACAATTAGGATTATGTATCATATTTACAGGCTTCAAGTTTGGGAAAATTTCTCACGTTTCCCTTCCAATCACCATCCAAAGCTGAATAAGGTTTGTTTCCTTGCATGATCTACACTGTATTTCATTTAAATACATCCTCCATCTTGTTATTTCATATAAGAATAGAACTCATAATATTTGTCTGGTATTTCTCTCCAACAGTTTTCTGATCTTTGTGATCTGTTTCATCTCAACTAATCTGATAGTATCTTCAGTCCCTCTTCTCTCCCGAGTTTGTTTCTTTAATATCTCTATCTTTACTTGTTCACAGTCTTTAAAAATTTCATTTTTCACTTTCAGTCCTTTTGTGGGACTCAAACCATCAGTTCTGTTCATGTGGTGTGTGGCTAATTCATGTATCTTGAAAGGGCAGTAAGGATGACAGGGAGATCATGTTAGTTCTTTAAATCTGATTTCCAGTCCTGCTGAAATCAATGGGAACATTTACTTCAGCTCCACAGTGAACTCTCTCTGTAGGTCTACAACTTATTTGACTTGAAAATCTTTATTTGGCATCCTGCTCTGCAGAAACTCCTAATATATCTGTTTAACTTGAAGATCTGATTTGTCGTATTGGTAAATAATGTCATTGTACTGTGTAATATATATGAAGTCATTATGCTGATAAAGTATTTGATGCTGCCAAGTGCATCAACCCTGGTCTCCCAAAGTGTTTGGTTGCATCCTTCTTTTTAACCATGAGTCATTATAATGGATTGGAGCGAGTTGCTTATATCGTTTAAGTTAAGTAAATGCTTAAATTACTGGATTAGGACCAGAGGAGTCAGCATCTTGAAAGATTAAACAAAAAGCAAAGACTATGCAATATTGACAGACAGACTTGCTGAGTTTATCCGTAACTCTATAAACAAGGCTAATTTCACTGGGGATTGGAAATTCTACTCCTGTTCAATTTGTTGCCACTACAGACAGATATACACCCACCAGATATGAATTATCTGACCACCAGGTTTACTATTTGAAAAACCACCTCAACTGTATGAAAGGAGCCTCAGCTTCAACGTATTAATAATTAACTGACTACATTCCTGATATGTCACCATCTCTATGAAGTATTTCGCAGTTGCTAAATAAGAAAAAAGACAGATTGCCACATTTGCCTTTTTTTTTTTCCAGAAGTTTGCCCTGAATCAGAATCCTGTCCATTTATGCAAAAATCATGGCTTAGCTTAATTTAAATGCTTCATCCTGAAAATCTGAGAAAGCCCCATATCAGGAAAGGGGGCAAAATGTTATAAAGTGTGCAGCTTTCAATGAGTTTTATGTCTGAGACATGTGATCAACCTAATGTTTATTAGATGAAAATCTGCGTGCAAACTTTTAAGATGTTAAGATTTCCTGCATTTTAGAGCATGTGCACAAATAGATATTGTGGCTGAGCTCACAAATAATGACTTGCTTGTCTCCTAGGTTCTAACATTTATGGATTGAACATTTCCCATCCTGCAATTGGACTTGAGCACCAAATCGCTTGTGGGCCTTAGAATTTCTTTCTAGGTGATTTATTTCTGAAGAATAAAAAATTCACAACTTGTCAGTGTAAAATGAGAAATAGAAAGAAGTATTTAAATATATTAAAAAATTCCCCTTTTTGTATGTGTGTTTGGTGATCTCTATTAGGTACCTCAGGATGAATGGGGAGGATATCCTGCCAGTGGGAAAGATGAAGAGATACCCTGCAGAAGAATGAGAAGCGGGAGCTATATTAAGGCCATGGGAGATGAAGAAAGTGGAGACTCTGATACTAGCCCCAAGACATCACCAAAATTAGCAGTTCGACCCGAGTCATTATTAAAATCCATTGGACAAAGACCACTGGGAGATCATCAAAAGTGAGTTTTATTATACCATGTTATAAACCTTTCTGAAAATTGATATGACTTAGGCCATTTTTCTTTGTGTCTTATTGACAGTGGTCAGTATCCATGAGAGAAGGTAGTCGGTAAAAAGCTAACTATGTCTTACTTCATTTTAAATTGACTTGATTAGTGGTTTAATTCTCTTGATTAGTGGATGAAAAACTGCTATCTTCCTCCATTCATGTAACAAACATGCTACTTAAGGAAGAGTTTATTATGTCTACTAAAGGAAATATATTCATCTTTATATTAAATCTCTAAAATTCTGAATATTCTTTAGCAGGATTATTTTATTCTAATTCTTTGTTATTTTATGGCTTTCTCTGAAATAGAAAGTACACTATTCTATAATAGCTATAATAACAACCAGATAATTGTAGATATACTTGGCATCTTATGTCCTATTTTCCATACAGTGCTTTCTCTGTGTATCAGCTATATTGTAGCATATACATTTGACACATTGGGCGGAGGGGGGATTCTTTCTTTTTTTTTTTTTTTTTTGCATTCATACTACCTGCAATACAACCTATTAAATAACTAACGCAAATTTTAAGACTATAGGAAAATGCATAGTTTTATTTGTTTTCCAATAGATCTTTGTTTTTCTCTTTTCAAGCTTTCAATATATTGTTTTTCTGAGTAATCTGTAAGTGTACTTCAGAAGACAATTTAAAGGTGGTAGCCACATTTCAAATCTGCTTCTATTAATGTGATTGGGTGTTTCTCACAACTTAGAAAATTGATCTTTTTGCCTGGAAGAAATACATAAAATGAAGAAATTAAGAGTGAAACCTTTGATTGTTGTTTATTGTTCTGTTGATAATACCATGCATAGTATACCATAATGACTCATCCTTTCATCAAATAAAGTGAAACGAAACAGAAACCTCAGGCAAAAAATCCCCCTGGCTTAATTAAATTGAATTATTTAGCTTGCAATTTAGAAGAAAAGTACCAACTTTCACTATGGAAGAGAACACTTAGCAACTATATTGTTTTGTATAGCTTGCTTATGCAACTCCGTAGGCTCCATTCAGATTCATAAAGAAAGACGTTTGTACTGTGAGATGGTGTAAGATTTCTGAGACATCATGAAACAAGACTGCTCTTGATAAAATCCAGTCAGGATACCACCTCAAAGGGTGCCAGAGGCCTTCATTGAGGTAACTAAACCAAATTCTGAATCTGAAGTATTTGCTGAAATATTAGTTCCAAAGATGAAGCATGGCCTACACCATGAGTACTGCTGTCAGACCTTTACCAGGCTGATTTCCAAAGACCAGAAGACAAGCTTTTAAAGGCAGTGATTGGAATCAATACTCAAATCTGTGATACCATTAGTCATTGTATCTGGGTTGAATTTGGTGTTTGAAGCACAAAGGCATATTTCTTGAATACATCGGTCCTTGATTTTCTAAGTGGCTATGAAAGCTGTGGGTCCTGAAAAAAGGCAGATATCCCTGTGGGGTAAGGGAGAGTGATCTAATGCCCACAGTCTGCTAGGAGTGATTCTTCTGAAGGCAATGGGGAAAAGGAGGTAGACAACTTTCTCAGATGTACATCAACCAGCTGTATTCCTGCTAGTAAATTAAAGAGTGCCAGAGAAGAGGCCTGAGCACAGAAACCCGATCACAAAGGCTGACAGGATTTTGTTGTGGTCCCTTGGCAGGCTTCTCATTTGGGCCTGTGGGCACTGTCCCAGACACTGCTTGGGCAATGCCTGGGCAGTGGTGTAGGCCAGGGATCATTCCCAGAAGGCAGCTTGGATGCAGCCATTCTGTTTCGGAGGGTAAAGAGCATGGTCATGGCTGGACAACACCAGCTGGCTTCAAGGCCAGAGGACAGGCACTGGCACTAGTTAATGTATTTAACAGATGTGGCCACTGAGTCTGAGGAGAATAGCAAGTACCTCACCAATTAGAAACCAAAGTGTCAGGGAACACCAGTGTTATCTAGTGACTAACAGGGAAAGCCAAACATCCATCTAGTCTTAGCTCTGTGTCCTGGAATCTGCCTTGCTGTGTGCATTCCAAGCATTGACAAAATAATCCCTATGTTGCTTTAGAGTTGACATTTGCGTATCAGTGATACTGCATGGTGATATTGGTTATCATGTCAACAGGTTTAACTTTTAGAGGTGATAAGGCAACAGGATCTGCTAGATTAGTGGGTGGGCAGATGGTTTGTCGGCGACCAGGTGGATTATGGAATCCAGCTCCAGAAGAATTGGAGACACATGTGTGCTGTCAGAGATGGAAGTACTTGGGAGACTACATACAATCTCAGATGACAGTTCATTCAGTAACCTTGCTAGCTAGCACCACATCCATGAGCTTTTTCACTAGGAACACAGGCTAAAAGCTTTGCTCGGAGACAGTACAAACTTTCCAAGTACTTGATCCAAATAAAATATTTTCCTATTCTCTTCCTTGTTTTGGACTATGGTAGAGCCCTCCTCCAGCCTTAGGTAGGTAAAAGCATAAATTTTTAAGTGAGCAGCAGGTCTCGGCACCTACCCTACACCTGCACAGCCCAAGAACAGATCCAGGCTGGGTCTCGAGACATATATATTTAAAAAAAAATAATGTTTGAAAAGGAAAGATATTTTTTTCTAATCCATTAAACTCTGAAGGCAGAGGTCAATGTCAAATGGTGTGTCTTCTGTCATTTTTCCATGTTAAAAATATAGAACTCAAAATATAGTTGATTAAAAACCCTGTGCAATGTTGATGTGGTATAGTGGGGTTGACAGCTGTGCCTGGTCCTGGTCCCAAAATATTTAATAGCATATTTACCACTAACCGCAGTAGGAAAAGGAGGACACTTTTTGTGATACTGTTATATACTACTCAGGGAGCTGTGGAGAATTTGTCGTAAACACTGCACTAGAAATAACTGAACATCCAGCCTGTTGCTGATATATCTTTAAATCCTTAAACTGAGGGGCAGTACCTTGAATCTGCCAGCCTGCCATAGACATTTTTTCAAGTGAACTTCAGACAGAAATGTGACAACTATTCTGGTTCTTGTACGTCTGCCTTGCAAAAATCTGCAAGTTCCAGAAGCCCTTGACATTATGCAGCTCTTTGGGCAAGCAGACAGACAGAAAATTTCTTGTCTCACAGAAATACAAAGTGCTGATGCTAAACCTGGGTTTTCACCACAAGCTGTCTCCTTCCAGTCCTTCTCTGTCTCACTGTGGTTACCTGTTAAGTCTGGCAGATTGATATGAAAGGTATATCAAGGGGTAATGGTTATGGAGCCTTCCTCTCTCCTCCCACACAGCTCAGCAATCCCCCTTGCATGCTGAGTGGCCTTTGTACCGCTGATCATGCTGCCAAGCCAGAAGCCAAGGTTTTGAACAACATTCCTGTATGTATAGCAGGACTGAAGAGCATTTCTGGCATGTATTATGAGAAATTACATAATTCGAGATGTCAGCTGCATTAGCTGCCTTTTTAGCTTGTTTACTAGGGTGGAGGGAGCTAATGCACAGAAATAAAATGGGGCTTTTAGTCTCTTAGTCCTTTGCTTGGGTGGACAGGATAGCTCAGAACCAGGGTCTGACAGAGCACCAGCAAACCTGTAATATAAATACTGATAATTTCAGTGGTACAAAAAGATGCATTTGCTGCAATAGGTGGGCTTCATGAGAATGTGCCTAGTTTTCTGTCACTATCCTGAAGAGGATAAAAAGGAAACTAGACAAGTTTTCACTTAACCCTCAACAGAACTTTGATACAAATGCATGTTTCTCCTCTGAGTTTTATCAAGTATCTTTTCATGGAATTTTCACCAATTTAATTCCTGCTTCTATTTTGACAAAGGTAAGCCCCTATTTTGTTGGTTCATGTTGATCAAAGATTTAGCAAATTGAACATTAAAAAATTATAAACTATAAAAATGCATATTCGTATGAATAAATAATTTTGTTTAACAACATACAAATAGATAAATGTGATTTAACAGAAGCATTAAAATTCTGAGATCTTGTCTTTTAAAAACTCATGGAGCATATTTCCCACGTAAAGTGGGAATTAAAAAGAAAGTCAGGGCCTGCCCACTGGTGTTTTATGCAGGTGGGAGTTGCAGGGCACGTACCCAAACACTGCCATCAGATCACCACCACTGTCACACTGTTAGCACAGCAGCATGATCCATGGCCCAGGTGCAGCCTAGGCCACCTGGGTCTCTGCTAGGTAGCATCCAGGCACATTTCAGGGACTAATCCTGTTGGATCCAGCCACCCTCTCTACAGGATAAGAAAGTTTAACCATACAGGTCAGTTAGCCGAAGGTGCAGAGAGAAACAGCTAGGCTGTTTCTGAGTAAAAATATAGTCTAAGTGACTCAAATTTTCCTGGATTTTTCAAAAATTAAATGCACCTGGATATCTATAGATTACTCACTGAAGATAAATGTATTTCAACTCTTTCTTTGTGAATATTGTTTGAAAAGAATAAGTAGTATGTCACACTATTTGCTACTATAACATCAAGTCAAAGGCCAGTATAATTCATTATTATTATGAAATTGCATTTGAGTGAAATATAATACAATAAGGCTTCCTGTGCTGGAGACAAGACACATACTTGAATCTGCTTCCTTTCCAACTTTTCCCTTTCTTGGAATAGTGCCAGCAGTCCCATTTATCGTGGAAATTATCAAGACTCACAGTAGTCATGGGGAAAACTATTAAACTTTTTTTTTTTTTGGTTGGTTGGTTTGTTGGTTGGTTTGGTTTTTTTTGTTTGTTTGTTTGTTTTATGATTAGGCATACAAAATCTTTTGGATGTCAGTTTTGGTATCCTGTGAACAACTATAGGTGTTTTAGAGATGAAATGCAAGGCTTTTTGTATCAGTCCATTGTTTTTTTGCTCTGCTGTGATGCTACTGGGGATGGATAGGTAGTCTACTGTGATGATAGGTAGTCTGCAGAAAATAGCTTGTAGAAGGTACAACATACCCATG